GAGAGTATGGTGGAAGGACACAAAAACTAATAAATGGGAATTAAGCACTGTAATAACATGGCATAGGGGTTTTGCTTGTGTCTCTCCAGGAAAGGACCAACAAACTGTTTGGGTTCCCTCCCGTCAGCTGAAATTGTACCATGACTCCAGTCTTGAAGAACCATCAGAAACAAAAGGCGAACAGCCTCCGGAAATCGAAACTCAAGGCTCATCACCTGACTAATAAAATTTGTCATCTTAACTTCACTTCACAGCCTTGCCCTACAACTCCCAATACAAAAAATTCCACCTCGCTGACATGGGGTCAGATAAAAGTAATGTTCGAAGAGGCTGAGAGACACCTACAGGACAAAGGGATTCCAAAAACTACAGGTAATATTATCTTGGCTGCCTTTCTGGTAGTTACTGTAGTGTTAAGTATACCTGGGGCTACAGCAACTCACAATTACACCTACTGGGTATATGTCCTGTTTCTCCCTCTTATTCGATCTGTTTCATGGATGGATTCCTCAGTGGAGGTTTGTACTAATGACAGTGCATTCATGCTGGTCCCTAATGATGACAGATTTCAGGTTCAACCAGATGAAGCACGAATGCCTTTTAATGTGTCCATGGGATATAGATTTCCACCATTGTGCATAGGAATTGCACCTGGCTGTTTGGCATTCTCTAATCAAAATTGAATGTGGACTGTACCGGCCTCCAGTAATGATTCTTATCAGGTGCATAATGTTTTGAGTAGTAATTCTTTTCAGGATCTGACCGTTAAAATAAATTCATTTGAGGAACCGAGAATTCCTGTCACAGTAAAACACAATAAAACACAAGGATTGTCAGACTCTTTAAAAGACACTATAAAGGCAGCTTTAGTAATTGGAAACATCCTATGGAGTGACTGCAACGCCCCAACACCGGCAGTGCCACGGAGTCCTGTCACAGGGACTGTCATTGACTGGGCCCCAAAAGGGTATATTGGCGAGATTGCTCTGAGCAAAATACCCAAAGTTCAGAGTTTAACTACTTAATCGATTATGAAGAAGAAGGCTGGCAGTCCTAAAAAAAGAAGAAATGGGTGTCTCCTTACCCGTTCAAATGGTTGGACAAGGGCATTGTTCCTCCTAGGCCAAAAATGATTCATCCTATACTTACCCTAGAACATCCTGAATTGTGGAAGTTGGCTGAAGCCTTATCCGGAATCAGATTATGGAATGTAGCTTATCAAAAAATTCTTACAAATACCAAAACAAACATGTATAAGGTCACTTTAAACCCATGAGGAGCTGTGTTAAACCACTATATATGTTATTGGTTGGAAACATAATTATCATCCCTGATACCCAAACTGTTGAATGCAATAATTGCAAATTGTTTATGTGTATTGATGCTACATTTGACCCAAAAACAAGTGTTCTCCTGGTCAGAGCCAGGGAATGGGTATGGATACCAGTTTCTTTACACCGCCCCTGGGAATCTTCTCCTTCTATTCATATAGTCAATGAAGTCCTTAAAGGGATCCTTAAAAGAACTAGGAGATTCATTTTTACACTCATTGCTGTGATTGCAGGTTTAATTGCTGTTACAACAGCGGCTACTGCTGGAGTAGCCATTCCTAACTCGGTCCAGACTGCCCATTATGTGGAAACATGGCAAAAGAAGTCCACCGACTTTGGAATTCTCAGGCTGAGACTGATCAAAAACTGGCCAATCAAATTAATGACCTCCACCAGAGTGTAATCTGGTTGGGAGACAGAATGATGAATTTAGCACACTGAATGCAACTACAATGTGATTGGAATACACTGATTTTTGCATAACACCTTATGCTTACAGAGAAGATCAACATAGTTGGGAAAAGGTCCAAAGGCATCTAAAAGCCTGGGATGATCATTTAACCTTAGATATTTCAACACTTAAGGAACAAATTTTTGAGGCTTCCCAGGCTCACTTAACTACCATTCCTGGTTCTGACATATTTGAAACAATTACAAAAGGACTACCTGATATAAATCTTTTCAAGTGGATCAAGCCCATTGGAGGTTCACTTTTGTTATTGGCATTACTAATACTGGTGTGTTTATGTCGTTTGCTTTTAGTCTGCAAGTGTCTCCACGGAGTCTGATGAAAAGCTCGAAGCCAGCGACAAGCAATGATGGCAATGACAATCCTAATCAATAAAAAGGGGAGAGATGTGGGTGAAAGATTACCTAGGTGCCAAGGCAAGAGACTGAAGGCACGAACTGTGTCAGAATTTAATAAAGAAAATAGTTAGAATAAGAATAGTCATAATACAAATTAGATATAGAGATGATCATGGACAATTATCAATCACTATTATAAACATTATTAATCACTAGCTTTTAATATTACTCTATATTGCATTGCTAAGATAACATAGGAATAACCAGTGGGTAGAGGGTCAGGTGCTGAAAGGACATTGTGAGAAGTGACCTAGAAAGCAAGAGGTGAGCCTTCTGTCATGCCCGCATAAGGGCCACTTGAGGGCTCCTTGGTGAAGCAGTAACACCAGTGTCTGGGAAGGCCCCCGTTACTGAGCAGACCCCGAAAGGGAGTCTCCTTTCCTTGGAGGAGTCAGGGAACGCTCTGCTCCACCAGCTTCTTGTGGAAGGCTGGATATTATCCAGGCCTGCCCGCAGTCATCCGGAGGCCTAAACCCCTCCCTGTGGTGCTGTGCTTCAGTGGTCACGCTCCTTGTCCGCTTTCATGTTCCTCCCGTACTCCTGGTTCCTCTTTGAAGTTCGTAGTAAACAGCGGTAGCAGAAATAGTGAGAGTCTTAAAATCTTTGATCTTTCTTGTAAGTGCATAGAAGAAAACGCTGATGTATGCTGCCTGCTCTCTCTGCTTTGGCTACCTAAAAGTGTAGGGCCCCCTGTCCTATGATCACGTGACTTGCTTCACCTTATCAATCATTTAGATTCACCCTCCTTACCCTGCCCCCTTGTCTTGTATGCAATAAATATCAGTGCGCCCAGCCGTTAGGGGCCACTACCGGTCTCTACATCTTTTTTTTTTTTCTGAGATGGAGTTTCACTCTTGTTGCCCAGGCTGGAGTGCAATGGCACGATCTCGGCTCACCGCAACCTCCACCTCCCAGGTTCAAGTGATTCTCCTGCCTCAACCTCCCTAGTAGCTGGGATTATAGGCATGTGCCACCACACCCTGCTAATTTTGTATTTTCAGTAGAGACTAGTTTCTCCATGTTGGTCAGGCTGGTCTTGAACTCCCAACCTCAGGTGATCTGCCCGCCTAGACCTCCCAAAGTGCTGGGATTACAGGCGTGAGCCATCGCGCCCAGCCCAGTCTCCGCGTCTTGATGGAAGTGGTCCTGTGGGCCCAGCTGTTTTCTCTTTATCTGTTTGTCTTGTGTCTTTATTTATTACAGTCTCTCGTCTCTGCACACGGGGAGAACACCAGCTAAGCCCCGTAGGGCTGGACCCTACACAGACTAAACAAAAGGTATTTAAATATTCAAAGTGAAAAAATTGCAACATGGAAACCAGGTACTTACAAAGATGTGGCAGGCTACTTTTACATTTAAAATGCTCATAAAAATATGTATTTGTCAGGCAGGGTGCGATGGCTCATGCCTGTAATCCCAGCACTTTCGGAGGCTGAAGCGGTTGGATCACAAGGTCAGGAGTTCAAGACCAGCTGGGCCAACATGGTGAAACCCCGTCTCTACAAAAAATAAAAAAATTAGCTGGGCATGGTCGTGCACTCCTGTAATCCCAGCTACTCAGGAGGGTGAGGCAGGAGAATCACTTGAACCTGGGAGACAGAGGTTGCAGCGAGCAGCTGAGATCATGTCACTGCACTCCAGCCTAGGCAACACCACGAGACTCTGTCTCAAAGAACAAAATGAAAACAAAATTAGCTAGGCGTGGTGGTGTCTGCCTGTAATCCCAGCTACTTGGGAAGGTGAGGAAGGAGAACTGCTTGAATCCGAGAGGTGTAGTTTGCAGTGAGCCGAGATCGCACCACTGCACTCCAGTCTGGGTGAGAGAGCAAGACTTCATCTTAAAAAAAAAAAAAAAAAAAGAATTTTTCTGTAAATAGAAAGACTAAGCAGCCCCAGAGCTAAGACCTCCTTGGATCATTGCCCCTTTATATCAAGTGATAAAGTAACCTTCCTTGAAGTATATCAATCCATCACCAATCAACCTGCTGCACCCTATCCTACCCACTGGTCTTGAATGGAAAATGTGGTGATTCTGCTAAAGCTTCTCTGTCTTTCTCTGTGTGTGAAAACTTAACGTCTCTGCTTGGGAACGCTCATCCCATTCATTTGGAGTTGATGTTTCCAGGTGGCTATCCTCACGCTTTGTGTTCACATAAACTCTATATTTAATCATATATTCTAAATTTTATTTTATTTTATTTTATTTTTTTTTGAGACGGAGTCTCGCTCTGTCGCCCAGGCTGGAGTGCAGTGGCCGGATCTCAGCTCACTGCAAGCTCCGCCTCCCGGGTTTACACCATTCTCCTGCCTCAGCCTCCCAAATAGCTGGGACTACAGGGGCCCGCCACCTCGCCCGGCTATTTTTTTGTATTTTTTAGTAGAGACGGGGTTTCACCGTGTTAACCAGGATGGTCTCGATCTCCTGACCTTGTGATCCGCCCGTCTCGGCCTCCCAAAGTGCTGGGATTACAGGCTTGAGCCACCGTGCCCGGCCTCTAAATTTTATTATTTACTACTGACATCAGTTTCTGTCAGACTGTAGGAGCCTCACCAGAGAGGGCAACTGTCACCATGGTGCAAAATTCACACTTGTCAAAAAGACCTGGGTTAGGGTTTCTCCCCCTCCCTCAGAATGAAGCTAATTAGCTGAGACAGATGGTCACCTCCTATGGGCAAAAGATTGCCTAGATGCTGAGGCAAGAGACTGAAGGCACAAACTGTCTCAGTATAATATAATAAAGAAAATAGTTAATAGTCAAATATAAGTTAGATATAGAGATGATCACGGACAATTATCAATCATTATTGTAAACATTATTAATCATTAGCTTTTAATATTACTCTTTGTTGCATTACCAATACAACCTAGGAATAACCAGCAGGTGTAGGGTGAGGTAATGAAGGGACATTGTGAGAAGTGACCTAGAAGGCAAGAGGTGAACCTTTTGTCAGACCCGCATAAGGCCGCTTGAGGGCTCCTTGGTCAAGCAGTAATGGCAGTGTCTGGGAAGACACCCATTACTTAGCAGACCGCAAAAGGGAGTCTCCTTTCCTTGGAGGAGTCAGGGAACAGTCTGCTCCACCAGCTTCTTGTGGAAGGCTGGATATTATCCAGGCCTGCCCGCAGTCACCCGGAGGCCTAAATCCCTCCCTGTGGTGCTGTGTTTCAATGGTCACGCTTCTCATCCAGTTTTATGTTCCTCCCATACTGCTGGTTCCTCTTTGAAGTCTGTAGTGGACAGCAGTAGAAAAAATAGTGAAAGTCTTAAAGTCTTTGGTCTTTCTCATAAATGCATAGAAGAAACACTGATGTATGCTGCCTTCTCTCTCTCTGCTTCAGTTACCTAAAATGGAAGGATCCCCTGTCCTGTGATCACGTGAGTTGCTTCACTTTGTCAATCACTTAGAAGATTCACCCTCCTTACCCTGCCCCCTTGTCTGGTATGCAATAAATATCAGTGGCCCCAGTCCTTACGGGCCACTACCGGTCTCCACGTGTAGATGGCAGTGGTCCCCTGGGCCCAGCTGTTTCCTCTTTATCTCTTTGTCTTTTGTCTTTATTTATTACAATCTCTCGTCTCTGCACACGGGGAGAACACCCGCTAAGCCCGGTAGGGCTGGACCCTACAACCTTCATTACCAAGTAGAGGCAGGATGAACTATGTATGACCAACCGTGTTGTCAACTCCTCTTCCCTGAGACCTGATTAGTGTTTAACTTGAAAACATAAACTTGGCCGGGCACGGTGGCTCAAGCCTGTAATCCCAGCACTTTGGGAGGCCGAGACGGGCGGATCACGAGGTCAGGAGATCGAGACCAGCCTGGCTAACACGGTGAAACCCCGTCTCTACTAAAAATACAAAAAACTAGCTGGGCGAGGTGGCGGGCGCCTGTAGTCCCAGCTATTTGGGAGGCTGAGGCAGGAGAATGGCGTAAACCTGGGAGGCAGAGCTTGTAGTGAGCTGAGATCCGGCCACTGCACTCCAGCCTGGGTGACAGAGCAAGACTCTGTCTCAAAAAAAAAAAAAAAAAAAAAAAACAAAAAAAAAAACCATAAACTTAATTGTTGTATAGAAAAGTGAAATTTCTTTCTCTTTTTTCAGCCTCTTGGCTGTTTGCCTCTATTTCCCATCACAATCGGGTCTAAGGCTTATTTATTAATGAAATGATTTTTATTTTTCTCTATTATTGTCATGCAGATGATTTGTCATTTGGGGGAAGACTTTTTTGTTTTGTTTTCTGAAGGGGTGGCCTGCCCCTCCACACCTGTGGGTTTCCCGACAGGTGGGACGAGAGACTTGAGAAAAGAAAGACACACAGAGGCACAGTATAGAGAAAGAAAAAGTGGGCCCAGGGGACCGGCGCTCAGCATACGGAGGACCCACAATGGCACCCATCTCTGAGTTCCCTCAATATTTATTGATCATTATCTTTACCATCTCAGAGAGGGGGAAGTGGCAGGACAATAAGGTAATAGTAGGGAGGGGGTCAGCAGGAAGCCTTTTGAATAAAGATCTCTGTGTCATGAGTAAGTTTAAAGAAAAGTGCTGTGCTTTGATGTGCATATATGCAAACATCTCCATAAACATCTTCCATGCATAAAGATCAGCATTACCCCTAGCACGTCTCACCTCCAGCCCTAAGGCGGTTTTCTCCTATCTCAGTAAATAGAACATACAATCAGGTTTCACACCCAGACATTCCATTGCCCAGGGACGGGCAGAAGACAGATGGCTTTCTCTTTCTCAACTGCCAAGAGGCCTTCTTTCCTCTTTTACTAATCCTCCTCAGCACAAACCATTTACGGGTGTTGGGCTGGGGAACGATCAGGTCTTTCCCTTCCTACAAGGCCATATTTCAGACTATCATATGGGGAGAAACCTTGGACAATACCTGGCTTTCCTAGGCAGAGGTCCCTGTGGCCTTCCGCAGTGTTTGTGTCCCTGGGTACTTGAGATTAGAGAATGGCGATGACTTTTACCAAGCATACTGCCTTCAGGCACTTGTTTAACAAAGCACACCCTGCATAGCCCCAAATCCATTAAACCTTGAGTCAACACAGCACATGTCTCTGCAAGCACAGGGTTGGGGCTAGGGTTACAGATTAACAGCATCTCAAGGCAGAAGAATTTTTCTTATTACAGAACAAAATGGAGTCTCTTATGTCTACTTCTTTCTACATAGACACAGTAACAGTCTGATCTCTCTTTCTTTTACCCATAGCTTTCGATTAAATTTTCTCAACAATTAGAAAGTCAAGTAAACAGCATTTGTTGGGCCAGGCGCGGTGGCTCACGCCTGTACCCTCAGCACTTTCCGAGGCAGAGGCAAGTGGATCACTTGAAGTCAGGAGTTTGAGACCAGCCTGGCCAATATGGTGAACCCACGTACAAATATATAAAAATTAGACGGGCATGGTGGCACGCACATGTAATAGCAGCTACTCCGGAGGCTCAGGCAGGGGAATTGCTTGAACCCAGGAGGCAGAGGCTGCAGTGACCCCAGATCCCGCCACTGCACTCCAGCCTGGGTGACAGACAAATATTCTGTCTCAAAACAAAAGAAAAGAAATAAGTACATAAATAAGTAAAAGGAAGTAATAGATCTCTTCCACAAATGTGCTGGGACAACTAACTGGATATCCACATGGAATACTGTTGGATCTGTATCTCACACCACCAAAATTGTATTTTAAAACGTTAAAAGAAAACGAAGGAAAAAAAAAAGAGAGACGAGGAAGGGGGCCCTGCCGGAGGGGGTGTTACTTTGTCGCCCAGGCTGGCCTGGATGCCCAGACTCAGTGATCCTCCCACCGCTGCTTCCTGAGTAGCTGGGACCTCAGGCTCCCGCCCCCGCCCCAGCATCCTTGCTGTGTTTATCCAACAAGCTGTAACCTCTCACCTCTCTGGCCTGAGCACTCCGTCCTGCATCCCAGGCGGTGGCCCTAGGGAAGTCTCTGAAGCTGAGCACAGGGTGGACTCTCCCTCCCGAGTGAATGGAGAATAGAAAGGGAGAGGATTTCTATTCTGTTCTATGGGCCCTCAGCATGAAATCCTACCTTCCGCCCAGGCCGGGCCTTGCATTTTACATTGTAGTTTGTATCCCCGTTCCAGACAATTCCAGGGCTTTTGAATCATGCCTCAGCCTTCCCGGCCCGTCTCGCCTCCAAAACCCGGAAACAGAGGTGCTGGGAACAAGGCTGAGAGGCGCACAGGTCCCGCCCCGGCCCTGCCCCGCCCGCTGCGGGTTCTAAAGCGCAAAGTCTCTCCGCCTCGCGCCCCGCCCCTACTTCGCCCAGGCCCCGCCCACCTCCTCGCGGGTCCCGCCCAGGCCTGGCTTCTGTCCTGCGCGCGCAGATTCGCGCAGACCAGGAAGCGGATCTCGTGGAGTGACGGTTCCAACGCGGCGCGTGAGTTTCGCCCTGACTTCTATTGTCTGCGTTTCCCAGGTCCCCGGCGCTTCCGCAGCTGGGACCTGGGATCCCCACAAACCTGGAAATTCTCAGCCGTCGTCCTTCACCCAGAGCAAATTGAGACATCCCCGTGAGAGGCCGGGGGTCGCTTCCTTTTGGGTTTTAGGTCGCCCTGAGGCTGGTCCCGTCCCGCGTCTTTCTGCTATAGGGCAACGTATACACTTTCTACGCTTAGTTTTCCTGCTCTAAACCTTTTTCTGACTCCTCCCGCCCCGCGCTTTTTAAAGTCCTCACCCGATAGGTGGATTCTCGCCCTCGTAGGCCCCTGGAGCGCAGCGCCGCTGCCCCAGTCCCGGGAAGGCCGCGTCCTCTGCCTTGTCCTGGGATCCTGCAGACCCCACCCCACAACTGTCTTAAGGCGCCATCGCCGCTTCACCCCCGTCCTCGTGCGGGGCCCTGCTGCTCCACAGGTCTCCGCTCCACAGTCACCGCTTCCCCGAGCCCGCGTTGGGGAGGTGCCCGGGGTCTGTCCTGTGACACCGGGTGTTCTTGCCTGTCCACCTCCAGCCCCTGGAAAATGCGCTCCACCGGAATGCAGGCGTCTTACTCCAGACCCTCCTGTGATTGTGTGGGCCAAAGGGATCAGGAGACGGAGAGAGAGCAGTAGAAAACCTGAGACAGAAAAGAAGAATGAGAAAGACCCACAACAGATGGCAAAGTAGAGGATGGGTGAGGGATTTGCCGAGAGGCAGCAAAAGTGAAAAGAAAACGGTAAGAAAGCAGGAGGAGAAAAGCAACTGGAGAAATGTAGAGAAAAGCTAGATGTACAGAGAGATGAAGGACAGCAATGTAGGGAGAGGGGCAGCAAAGAGGGAGGCTCATCAGAGTGAGGGAGAGGAGGAAGCACTTGGAGCCGGGGCAGACGGAGTGGTGCTGGTGGCAAAGAGAACAGAAGGAGAACCACAGCAGGGAGGACACCTGGGGATCTAGGCTGCTAGAACCTAGGGTCAGGGCGGTATAACAGGGAAGAGAGAATGTAATGGAGAGAGCAGAGAAGGCGCAGAGATTGTGTTGTGGGAAACTGAGAAGAGACTGATATGGGGGAGACAGGATGATGTTTGTTTAAGGTACGCACCGGCTCCGTGGGTTTACATCAAAAAAGCTGAGCATTTCAACAAACACAGAGTGGGGTTTTTTGCTTTCAGAAGCTGAATAAAAAGAGTTAATCATATATTGATAGGTCAGGTAATCTATAGCATAGCGTAACTTGTGTCCTTCCATCGCTGGTGGCCTTGTAGCTGCGTTGAAAGAAAAACAAGAACAGCTAAATACACAAATTTGTCCTTTTTTTTTTTTTATTTCACCCTTGTTCTGAGAAGGTGGGGGGCTGTCTGGAGCCTGTTCCTTTGCCTTCGACTTCGCAAACAGTGTTATAACTGTTCTTGAAGTGAGCTTGCTAGGCAGAGGAAAACTGGTTCTTCTTTTCTTTTTAACCTTTGCCTTGCCCGTTACTTTTCTTGGAGTGAATGAATGCATATTGATTTTTAAAATTTCTACCTCAGTTTCCTCCCTTAGATGCTTGTTATAAACAAGATTTTAATAGAAAGCATCACTGTTACTGGATTCTTCATGAAACAGCAGGTTTTCTTCTTTAGGCACAGGCTGATATTCACATAGAGCTATTAGCTGAGTGGTAGTCTGCCTGGTTGCAATTGCTTCTATCGTTGATTGAATGTTCTTAACAAGGAGAGGTAAGAGGCAAGGGAGTATTAAACAAATTCTTAGTATGGCTGGAACTACTCCTATTAAGGTTTTGAATATACTGAAGGAGGAAAACCAGCCTCTAAAGAGGGACTCAGAAGCCTACTTTTTCTAAGTGTGGACTGGAACTTGGGCTAATTTTTTCATTCTGGCAGTTCTTTCTCTTTTTTTTTTTTTTGTGAGACGGAGTCTCGCTCTGTGGTCCAGGCTGGAGTGCAGTGGCCGGATCTCAGCTCACTGCAAGCTCCGCCTCCCGGGTTTACACCATTCTCCTGCCTCAGCCTCCAGAGTAGCTGGGACTATAGGCGCCCCCCACCTCGCCCGGCTAGTTTTTTTTGTATTTTTTAGTAGAGACGGGGTTTCACCGTGTTAGCTAGGATGGTCTCGATCTCCTGACCTCGTGATCCACCCGACTCGGCCTCCCAAAGTGCTGGGATTACAGGCTTGAGCCACCGCGCCCGGCCTCTGGCAGTTATTTCTATAATAGCCTTCCTATTGTCATGGATTTCTAGGCAGCAATTAGTTAGATTAAACTTTCTACATACTCCTCCTTCCTGGGCTAGGAGGTAGTCTAAAGTTAATCTATTTTGGTAGATGGCATTGCTCATTTTCGTGGCTTGCTGGGCCGGTAAGTCGAATGCATTTTCTGTTTCATTAGTGATGATTTCAGGTGCTGCTTGCAACTTTAGGATACGGTGAAGCGTGTAAATTGGGGTGTGGAAGGCTGCTTTCTCTTTTCACCACCCTGTCCTCCCCTGCGTCTTTTTTCTCAAACTCTCTCTGCCTCTTCCTGGAGATTCCAGCTGGGCTAGAGGCTGAGCAGCTTTGGAAACAATATTTAAGGGAATGTGAGCTTAATGCATAATGCCTTTAAAAAGCATGTTGTGCTTTTTAAAAGGCACTGTCCCTTTTCTCCTCGTTCAGGTCTAGGCTCAGAGCTGTCTCCCATGCCCTCCCACCACTATCTGAAGTTCACTCTGCCCATCAGTCTCTATCACGTTACTCAGGTTTTATTATCCCTGCATCAATCACATCAGAAACTTTTTTTTTTTTTTTTTTTTTTGAGACAGAGTCTCTGTTGTCCAGGCTGTGAGTGCAGTCCGATGATCTTGGCTCACTGCAACCTCTGTTTCCTGGGTTCAAATGATTCTTGTGCCTCAGCAACCCATATAGCTGAGATTGCAGGTGTGTGCCACCACACCCAGCTAATTATTGTAGTTTTATTTTTATTTTATTTTATTTTATTTTTGAGTCTCACACTGTCACCTAGGCTGAAGTTCAGTGGCATGATCTTGGTTCAGTGCAACTGCCACCTCCTGGGTTCAAGCAATTCTCCTGCCTCTGCCTTCTGAGTAGCTGGGATTACAGACACCCACCAAGCCCACTAGTAGAGTAGAGAGACACCCACCAAGCCCACTTACTTTTTTTATATTTCACCATGTTGGCCAGGCTGGTCTTGAACTTCTGACCTCAAGTAATCCACCCTCCTCGGCCTTCCAGAGTGCTAGTACTACAGACATGAGCCACCATGCCTGCTCAGTTTTTCTATTTTTAGTAGAGACAGTATATCACCGTGTTGGCCAGACTGGTCTTGGACTCCTGAGCCCAAGTGATCCTCAGGGTCTGGGCTGAGGATTGGTCAGGGCTGGGTCTGTACCCTGAAGGGGAGCTCATTCCAGCCCAGCTCCCCACTGCAGGAGCGTGTGTGTGGGCTCCTCCAGGAGAGAAGTGGGAGTTTTCCTATAGGAGTTTATTGTCCCTTCTGCAGTGGGCAGTAGAGGGGACCATATTTCCTCAGGGTGAGGTCTCCTTTGTATGTTTCATTGTGTTACAGGGAGGGGATGTGTTGATTCTGAGCAATAAACAACGTATTTTTAACTTTCAGGATTGACTTCTAAACACTCTTGATACATGAGGAAGAAACCCGGAAGAGGAAGAGGAAAGCAAAGGAGTCAGGGATGGCTCTTCCTCAGGTGAGATGATATTCTTGGTGGATTGTTCTGTCTCCTTCCCTTCAGAAATGCTGCTGGGCCTTGGAGTTGGGAATCTTCTCTGAGTCTGAAGCGTCCTGCCTGACAAGTTTGTTCGCATTCACCCATGCCTTCCCTCAGTCCCTCTCATCGCGCTTAGATTTTATCTCTTGTGACCCAGTGACATGAACTTGGGAAGAGGCGGCACTGGGCATGGGCCTGGGAAGGGCTCACACCCAGACATGGATGGAGACGGGGTGAGGGTCCCGTGGTGTCAGTGCTGTTGGGCAGCAGGGATTGTTCAGGGGCCACATCTGGATGCTCTGTCACCTCTCTGTGGACCAGGATTAGAGCAACTGCTGATGGAAGTCTATCAGGGGAACCTGGCCCCCGATATTTCAACATGGGTTCTTTTCTATTTTCCTTAAGTGTCGGCCAGTCTGAGAAATAAAGGGAAAGAGTACAAAGAGAGAAATTTTAAAGCTGTGTGTCTGGGAGACACATCACATGTCGGCAGGTTCTGTGATGCCCCCCAAGCTGCAAAACCAGCAAGTTTTTATTAGTGATTTTCAAAGGGGAGGGAGTGTACGAATAGGATATGCGTCACAGAGATCAAATGCTTCACAAGGTAATCAAATATTACAAGGCAAATGGAGGCAGGGTGAGATCACAGGACCAGGGTGAAATTAAAATTGCTATTGAAGTTTCAGGCATGCATTGTCATTGATAACATCTTATCAGGAGACAGGGTTTGAGAGCAGACAACCACTTTCACTAAAAATTTACTAGGTGAGAATTTCCTCATCCTGATAGACCTGGGAGCACGACGGGTGACCGGGGTTTACTTCATCCCTTATCTGCAACCGTAAAAGACAGACATTCCTACAGCGGCCATTGTAGAGGCCTACCCCTCGGAACGCATTCTCTTTCTCAGAGCTGTTCCTTGCTGAGCAAAAGAATTCAGCGATATTTCTCCTATTTGCTTTTGAAAGAAGAGAAATATGGCTGTGTTCCACCCGGCTCTCAGGCATTCAGACCTAATGGTTATCTCCCTTGTTCCCTGAACATCGCTATTATCCTGTTTTCTTTTCAAGG